GCTGTAGCTCACCTTGTCATGGGTTCCTGTGCTGATGCTGGAGATGTCACCTCCAGGCCTGTCCCTTATTTCATACAATTTCAATGTCGTTGCCATTGGAAGTGTGTCAATTTTGTGGTTTTGCGAGAGTTTCTTTTGCAACTGACCCTGACTGTCTGGGCCCAGTGTGGCTCTGTAGGGAAGGGAAGCTCACAGAAATATAGTAACTCTTCAACAGCCTTTGCTGGTCCCATTTATTAATCRCTACAGATGTCATGGAAAGAAAAATMTAGATGTAGCTTTTACTTCAGGAGYTCGGAGTTGTGGTTCCTTCATTTACAAGCTCAGTTTGGGGTGCATTAGCTGGCCTCACAAGGATTWATTTCTTAATTTGATGGGTTTTGTTGTTGTTTTTTCCCAGTCTCCCCAACATGGTTAATCTTTTGTAAGACTCCTTTTGTGTTTTTATTCAGACAATTAATGTAAAAATGAATGTTTCTTAAACCAGGCTATGCAGGGAAGACTTAAAGTAACATATAATTAATTCTCAGTTGTAAATTGGTTTTGATGGAGTTAATTSTTTCCCAGAGGCTGAGGACTAGTTTTGGTCCACCCACAGTGCTGTAATCAGCCAAGAAATGAAGAAGAAAGACGCCTTGAAGGAAGGACAGTTTCACGACTGGCTTTGGAAAGCTGTGCCAGGAACAGGCAGGATATTTTATTTTTAATTCACACAAAAACCTCTCAGCTGTGCTTTTGAACCATGGCTATCCACATTTTGTCTTAAGGCAGGCATTGCATAATATGTGGAGACAGACAGTTTTGTTTCTGACTCAAAAAGGAGTCAGAAACAAATGACACCCGAGGCGGTTGGTGCATGTAATCCAGGTTGTGGGACCTTGCACAAATGGACAAGTGTGTAGAGTGGAAGACATTTTCGGGATTATTTTTGCGTCTTCCACAGACGTGGCACTGCTCAAATATAGCTTTCTGTGTGACAGTTGCCCATTTGTTGATCAATATGGAGCAGGGACTGTCTCRCTGATGGGCGCATGAACTCTCGTGCTGCTCCCGACAGCATTTTGTGAGCGGCTGGCTTCAGAAGGCATCTACGGCGCTCCAAAATCTTCAGTAGTTTAGCAAATCGCACGTTTGTCATACTTCATTTGTCTGCTGCTGTCTCGCTTAAGCGGTGACCTAATCATGCTGTATGTGTGTTTAGACTGTAGGTTTCTAGAATAAAAAAAAATAGCAAAGAAAAAAGCTTGACAGTTTTCCAGCATTTCCAAATGCTTCTGCACAAATATTGAAATGCACAGTATGAGAGCAGTAGCCAGACCATTTTACTTAGGAATACTTGGTATCTTTAAAAAGGATTGCTCATTGAAGACCATGGCCGTTTTTTGCTTTACAGGGTGTATTTTGAACTATAAATGAAATTTGCTATTGTTTAGGAGTGATTTTTAGTATTCACTGTGTTTTAAAAAGCCAACAACAGTCCTCTGAGGGTAGACATTGGGAGTAGGACCCAGGGTAGACATTGGGAGTAGGACTAAGGGTAAAGATTGGGGTACCATTGAGGGTAAACAGGGGGAGCAGGCAGGGAGTGTAGCCCTGTGGGTGAACAAGGGGTGTAGGACTTAAGGAAAAGGGAGGTTAAAAAGGCAAGTGGGGAGCCATAAATTTATCTGTCTTATATAATATTGAGTGTTTTAGAGATTGTAAAGAAATGTCCWTWTTTTTTTATATATATTCCCTCAAAACTTTTTCAATATTTTTGTGATATATTATTGAAAGGAGGTAGAAATATTTGAAGTTATTGAATTGAATGGAAAATGTGGTCCTTTTTTAGGACCTGGAGTTTTTGAGAGCTGTTGCCGTAGACTTTGTAGAAGGTCTTTGCGGTCATTATCATCCAGATCCCTGTTCTCAAGGTCTCTCTAAGCATGGTTTTACCTGTGAGGAGAGACCCACCCTGGTGCCTTAATCTCACTGTTCATTCCCTTTTGTTCTCGCCCCACTGCTTTTCAGTGTTTTTTCTTTGAAATCCAACTCTTTCCATCAGTTTGTCTCAGAAAGGAAACAAAGCAGGTAGGCCCGMTCCAAAGTGCCGCTGRTTGATTTTTCTTGTTTTAATTATGTTTAAATTGTTTTAGGTAGCCRTAACATTTGTCCTAAGCAGTATTTAGATATGTAGAAGGCACACAAAGTCACACGGTAAGTGATCTTGCCGTGTATTCCCCTGAATATCTCCTGAGTGGGAGGAGGGTGAGGGTATAGAGATTGGAGATCTTCCAAACCAAACTCCTGGATGCCACCCTGTGCCATGTGCTCTAGGTGTCCCTGCTTGAGCAGGGGCATTGGACTGGATGATCTCTAGAGGTCCTTTCTGACCTCAACTATTCTGTGATTTCTTAAACTGCATTATGATMAGGTTTCCAAGCCCAGTCAAAGACCTGCAAATGTAGTCAGCATGATGCACATAGAGTTGCTGGATGATCTTTTTTTCCAGCTCTGGGGAGCAAGAGTAGGCTTGCCCAGGAGCATCACTTTATCTAAAATGCTTTCATTTACCCCTCCCTCTGAATTTGACCAAAGTGAAATTCTCCTTGGCTCCATTTCCATGAACTGTTCCCAAAGTTTGGCTTGCAGATTTGGTGCGTTAAAGCCAGATTATAACTGAGGGAACGCTGTACCATTCGAGTGAGTTAAGAGTTAAAAATAATCCTAATGTGTCATTTACATTTGAGACTAACAGGGTTATAACTGAAGTTGTGTGAAAATGACTTTTTGGTGCTATTTTCACATAAACTGACTATTTATTTATTTATTTATCTTGTTCCAGGGTCGTTTCACACCCCAAGGGTTTCGTTTTTGTTGGTAGTTTTATTAATGTAAAAATACTCCTTTTCACACCCAAATGTGTGATTATTTAAAACTTTGCTTCGACTCATTCTGTGCTCACAACCTAAAGGCAAATCCTGGGACGTCTGGAGCTTGATAACTCCGCAGTGGTTTTGGCTGGCATTTTAAACTCAACAGTTACTGTGGTGAGAAACAGGCAGCACGCTTTGCTTTTGAGGTTACAAGGGCTGTAACGTCGTGTCTGACTTTTAGTATCCTCGGGAGGGTGGGGTGGTATTTGGGCACACCGAGATGCAGAGCGATGCGGGGTTTAGGATGCGCATAGGTGCATCCTTGGGTGCAGTAGTGCCAGAAGTCTGCAGCAAGGAGCCTGCACAGATCCAGTGCAAGCAGCCTCTGCCCCTCTCTTGCACAGTTCTTTGCACAGCAAAAAGTATTTTTTGTATTGCAGAATTGAAGCCAGTGCTGATCTAAACGTTTCTGGCCCTTGATTGCCTTCTTGCCTGCCCTGGCCAGCAAGAGTCAATGGAGAACATGGAAATGCCTTGTGTTGTGCCAGCACAGCACATCCCTGCCCTGGGCGCTGACTAGTTAAAACACAATTTAAAAAAAATTTTTTTTTTTTTTTTTTTTTTTTTTAAAAGAATTGGGCTGGTTTTGGATAGTCTAAATGTGATGTACAATCAGTGTCCTGGGCTCTGCATTTTGCAATAAGTGAATGTTTTGCTGATTTTGTGCTAGAATATCTGCAACCACACCAATTTGCATGCCTGTATGTGTGTTAGATTGCTGGCAAAGAAATGTTGAATGCTGGTAATTGTGTACTGATTTCCGAGGCTGATTTAAGTCATTTTGATTTTTAATTCATTCTGTGCTTCCTTTTTATTTCTGCACATGTGTAGTAATGTCCTGTAATGTTTCTGTCTAAAATAAGCAGTAAGAAATAAAGTTATAAGATGGCTGCTGTAAAAGGAAAATGACATTTTTTCCTTTGATTCTCTTTTTTTTTCTTTTTTTTTTTTCCTTCAGTAAAAGATCAGATCTCTGAATAGGAAATGTACAAAAAAATTAACCCTCTAAAGAGTTCTCAGACTAAGTAGCAAATTCAAATCCAAAGTTCCTAGTTTGACAGAGGCTTGAATTTTTCTAGGCTAGCTATGCTGTTTGTTGGCAAACTGTATTGTTCACTGTTACTCAAGTTACTGACTTTTTTCAGTGATTGATTTTGCATGGAAATATTTGTGAAATAAGTTAGTCATTACAGACCACTCTGTCTGGTACAGACACCTGTAAAACAGCCTGAGAACAGAGGAGGAAGGAGCACTCCTTGCCTGTGTACAGACTTGAAGTGATATATATATATTTGTGTGTGTGTATGTATATATTTATACATATATGTATATATAAAATGGCTGTTTTCCGAGTCGTGGTTTTAGCCTATGACAAAGGTGAGGTAATCTGAATTACTCTGCTTTTGTGTTGTACACAGCAAGGTTGTCATCAGGGTGGAAAGCATTGCTTAGAAGTGTTTGAGTGGATTAACAATGCCATAGTGGGGAGAGAGAAAAAAACAAACAAAAAAAACCTCACACACAAAACCCCAAACCAGGATGTAACAGTCGGTAAAAAGATGAATGTAGTACTTGGAAATTTTAAAGAATTTATTACTTAGAATTTAGCATCTCTAGTACTMTCAGTGGTTTTGTTCGTCTCAATGTCTTGTATGAGAATAGCTTAATGGGTCCTCTGCCGATCCTGAAGGACCCTCTAGATATCCATCAATACTGAAACTAACATTTCTTGAGGGAAACTGGTTAGTCCAGAAGAAAAAGTATTAGTCATCAGGCACTACTTAACGTGGAATCCAATAACCAACTGATTTTAAATATATATATATGTGTGTATATATATATATATATAAATAAAATAGCATAGTTGTTGGGTGCCTATAAGGTTCATAAAAGTGATACTCAAATGTTTTGCCTAAGTTTGTTCTTGTTCTTAGGAAGTACTGGCCACCCCACATTCCCTTGCAGGTCGTCTGCACTGCGGAGTACCCCAGAGCTCTTCTGGTTTGTCACACAAGTCTTCATGTAGCTCTGAAGACATTAGCAAATACTGAATACATAAAATGTTTGCATTTCCATTTTCATTAGGAATCTGAGAAAAAAGGTTTAATTGAACGGATCCACATGGTACAAGAAATCATCATAGCTGTTCAAAGCATCCTTGAAGAAATAGCATCGTTTGGAGAGAGGATTAAAAAGTAAGTGATCAGTTTTCCTTGCTTGGGTATGATACAAGACTCGATCAGTTGTAGTGCTGATTCTTCTTCCTTTGAAAGTGCTTCGAAGGAAGATTCTTCTTCCTTYGAAAACCTTTCCAAAGCAGGGAGAAGGTATTTTGTGGATAGTGGTTCTCATTCAGCCGTTTGTCCCAAACCATAGTTGGGTCTGTGTATTGTGGTAGGGAACAAACAGCATTAATATGAGCAAAGATATTGCTTGGGAGCTGTGGGCACCAAAATATCGGGCTTTTCTTTGTGCTTCTTCTGTAGAAAGTACTGAAGAAATGATGGCTGGTGTTGCCTTTCCCATGCCCTCTTTGCCCTTGCCTGGTTGCAGAGGTTATCAGTCACTTATTTCCCACTCCACTGGGATGTGGGAGATGCACTTCTCATTTTATYGATTTGAGCTATCTGCTTCCTGCCCTTGCCACGAGGAAGCCCAAAGGGGCTTCTCTGGGTCTTGTTATTGCAGGAGTCACATAGGGTGTTCCTGGCCCTAGGAGCAAGGGAGGTGAAGAGCCTAATAAAACCCCTGTCTACAGACACGCGCTAACTTTTTAGAATCCAATCTTTATTGGAGCTTAATTCACCCTCATTGTTTTCTATTTTGGACACAAAGTGATGGTTTGTGATTGAGCCACACTTTAATGAGGCGCTGGATTCAAGCTAAAAATACAGCAAGCCCATGTGTTGTGGTTGCACTCCATGCACCCCAGCTGGGGTGGAAGTGGCCAAGGGACGTATTCCTGGTTATGAACAGGGCACTGTTCTGTCCAGCTGCGTGGCAGGAAGGCTCGTCAGGCTTAAGCACTATTAATTCTCGTATTCATTTTGGTAACAATGGTGTTAAAGAAGACATTGGATATTAATGTGGATGTCCGATGTAACTTGAGAAGAATTCCATTGTAACTCAACAGTAATGTACCATTAAAAAAAGCTGCCACCGAAGSTTTTTTGTAAGTGACAGACTGGATTGTGCTACAGTTTCCGTCTGTCACTCTAGTTATGCAGTTGGAGGGAGTTTTAATAGCATAACTGTACTGAGCTGTTGTGCTGGGGTTTTTAACTTTAACTTAAGCTCTGTTGATGGATAATAATGACTCCTCTCCCACCTACCTTTACTTAATATTTAATACCTCTTTTGAAGGCTAGAAGTAATTCTTTCCACCTCCTATTAATTTTATCTGTCAAGGGAAGTTCTGCTTATTTTATAGCCTAACAAGTGGTCCACATTCATCCTCTTTTCTTTCTACTCCCCTTCACGGGGATACGATGAAGTTAGCAGGCAGGCTGAGTGAAGCAGAGATCCCAAACCTGTAAATCCATCTACAAACTCATGGACTTTCATGCAGTTCAAGTATCTCAAGTGCTTTGGAGGATACTGAAGAGAGAGCTTACAAGGCCAGGGCGCAGAGGCACAAAGTAACTTCAATTATGTGTTAGTAAGAGCTGTTCATCTTATGTCCACCATGGGCTTACAGATGGGTAGTGGATGAAAAGAAATCTTGTTTTGTGTTGATTATTGCCCATGCTGGTACAAATGTCTGAAGGACTGCAGTGATTGAGCCTCCTGAGTGTGCTGTCTTTGGGAAAACCGGTGATGTGCAGAGATTTGGTCTGCTGCTGTTATGCTATAACTGACCCAAGGTACCTTCTATGCACAGAGGAGTAAGGAACAGCTGAAAGCGTAAGGAAATAGAGGCAAATATATCAAGAGATATTTTGTAGAATATTCCTCCCTAGTGGCATGAAGAGAGAGAGCTCTAAGGCTCTCCCAAGGCTTAGCAGCAGTCGCAGCTGCTGCCACCCAGGTCACCAGCGGAGGTGGGTCTGGCCGCTTGCCACGTTAGAGCTGTGCCCTGACAAACGTCCCGTGTCACTTGTGCCACGGCCCGAGCAGAGCCAGCTCAGGTGGCCGGCACCTGTGGCAAGGCCGCGTCCCCACATCAGATAATGCGCCCATGAATAATGGAGAGCTGACCAGTGGGCCGAGATGGGTGGCACGTGTGACGTGTATAAGAAGAAACAAAAACAACTCACTACATGGTTAACAACTCTACAGAGCTCTCCAGAGAGTATCCTCTCTCCTTCTTATCATGATACCTGCCTCTCGGATATCTCCCTTAATCTATTATAGCATCCAGAGGCAGGAATCCACTTACCCGCTTCCCAGGGGGCCTACAATTTATAGCATATTTAAATGCTGAGCTCGGGAAGAGGTCATTACATTATTATTGGGTAACAGAGTATGAGCAGCATCCAGAAGCAGTAACATTGAGGAGAATTATTTATATTCTTTGCAGCACGTTCAACTGGACGGTGCCTTTCCTCTCTGTCCTGGCCTGCTTAGTCCTGGTAGCAGCAACAGTTATTTTGTATTATATACCACTGAGGTACATTGTTTTAATATGGGGTAAGTACTCGATTACTTCTTATTTGCATGCAATAAATACAACCTATAATCTATAGAATGAGGTCCAATAAGCTTTAAACTGCCTGTTACAATCAAGCACAGTTAACTTAGCGGTGCATAATTATTCTGCGAACCTCTGTTTTCTGGGGATGGAGCAGAAGAGATTTTTAATATGAAAAATTGCTCAGCAGTGTTATGAGTAAGAGTAAGATACTCTTTTATAAAAGAAAATGGCAATCCATCTTCTGAAGACTTTTCTTATCTCAAAATGGCATTCTGAGTTATTTGAGGTGATGCCTTTTATCTGTATTGAAGTAAAATGGCTGAAAATGTGGGGCAGAGCATCATTGAATCACTTGTTTCTTATTCGAGTGTGTGGACTAGAGATGCCCACCCTTATCCTTAGGGGTCTGAGGCATCTGCTGGTGTCTTGGCCCTTGTGACTGCAGAAAAAAGAGGGAATGAGAAGGGGGCAGCATGAAAASAGAGTATTGGAGGGGCAAGGATTTAGTCAAACAACAACAAAAAGAGCAAAATGGAAGGAGAGAAATTACTGGGAGGAAAAAGTTTAGTAACAAAACGTTGCTGCTCCACTATGGAAGGCATGGTGGGAACATGAAAACCCTACATCGATTCAACATCATCTACACTGACAGGGCCTTCAAATATGATACATGTTAAACAACTGCCCTGTGGCAAGGCCTCAAAAGACCTTATGGTATTTTCTGTTTTTTAAAAATCAGATACACAGGAAATTGTGTTGGCATTTTGCTACGAGAATGTGGCTTAAAAACTGAATCTCATGTGAAGTAGGTACTTTTCAGAGAGAGAGGAGGAGGAGGAGRAGGATGCTGGAGCAGTTGTTGCATTTGAAAACACTTTCAGGAAAACTGAGAGATTTGGGGGAAGTAATGGCAGAGGGCTGCAACAAGGACAAAGCTGGGAATGCTGCCCATCTCTCTCGTATTTTTTCATCCCAGTCCATGCAAAGAGCTGGTGCTGGATGAAGACTGCTCAGCCCTCCCTTTCCTCATAGGGATCAGAAGACACCTCCTTGCGAGCCCCTCCATAATTTGCAAGCTGCACTGGTGGTGGCCTTCCTTGCCACGTAGGGACCTCCAACAGCTTCAGCACCCACTGAGGATGCCAGGAGTGCTGTCGCTGCAGTTAATAAGTCACTCACCTTAAAAAGATCAAACTAAAATAAAACCTAATAATAAGTTTTCACAGTTTCCCAGAGCTTCCAGAATATGGTCAGCTTGTCAACTCTGGTTCTGCAAAGAGAGGATAAGCTGTGAAACGTGATGAGGAAGGGAAGTTTTTGACAGCTTTCATTTTCCAAAGAAATGCAAGGGAAAAAACCTACATGCTGCCAGTTTCTCTGAGCCCTCCAACTCCTGGGCAGCGGGAAAGAGACTATCTTTTCTCTGCAAATATATCAATATCTGGGCTTTAAATTCARATATTTCCCTCGCAATATACCTGCAGAATGAATGCTTGCCATAGTCTTTTTTAGAAATTATTTTTGTTGATTTTGTTCTTTTTTTTTTTTCCCATTTTTGACAACAAATCACCCCCAAAATGGAAAAATAGCTTCATATAATAATTCCCTCCACTTCTTCCAGGAGACATTTGTGAAAGATTTCTCATGACAGGCAACATGTGAGCGACTTGAAGTCCTAGGCCCGGTTTTCACACTAATTTTTACTTGTGAATTCTTCTTCCTTTTTCCACCTTGCCTGAACAATTTAAGGGTGGAGGGCAGGGAATCAGAAAGCAGTTGCGTTATTTGTTTGCATTTTTTTCTCATTCCAGGCATAAATAAATTTACAAAGAAGTTTAGAAATCCCTATGCCATTGACAATAATGAACTCCTAGATTTCCTCTCCAGGGTACCATCTGATGTTCAAAAGGTAAGTAATGAGTGGCCACCACCAAGGGAGGCAGCAAGCTGTACTCGGAGCAGCTGGGTGCTTGGCTTGGGGAATACAGTGCCTTTAGAGTAACGGAGATAAGGAAGTGGGAAAAATCCATAAAGGAGAAGGGGGTGGATGTTAGAAGAGAGAAGAGCCCAAATCCTTTGTCAGAAACATAAGATGATTGCAGAAAAATTATCCTGAAAAAGCCCTACTTAAAAATGATCTGGAAAATCGCACAGCGTGGTTACAGAGCTGTGGTCTCCGTCACCTTTCTGCTCCCATATTTGTACTGAGGAAGAGGAAAAATGGTCTCTTTGATAGAGATAACCATCCAAAAGATTTTGCGGAATTCTCTCTTTTCTCAGGATTGGGGAGGGGGTGGTATAGGAATTATTTCTGTGACTTTGTGCTTGCTATTATATATATTTATATTTATATATATATATAATATATATATATATTTATCCCTCCAAGCCCCACCCACCTTGAACTGCAGGCCTCTCAGGGACAAAGCCACTCTCACCTTTTCCCTTAGAGAAAGCCTCAGGATGCATATAAAACACTCTGCAGTTGATAAGATCAATCTTCTGCCATTACAGAATTACAACTTTTAATCTAATCAGAATCTCTTCTCCCTCAATTTCAGTTAAGTCTTGTCTCTTTTCATTTCTTTCTATCTTTTCTTTCTTTCTTTCTTTCTTTCTTTCTTTCTTTCTTTCTTTCTTTCTTTCTTTCTTTCTTTCTTTCTTTCTTTCTTTCTTTCTTTCTTTCCAGTAATCTTGCCTATCTTCCTGGAAATTATTTGAACAATAAGTCCTTTAGAATGTCGAGATCTGTTTGTTTCTCTTGGAGGAAGGAAAATAGTCTTGCTGGGTAACGAGCCACAAGATATAAAGGATTCTTTCATTTCTTTTAATCAACTGGAATCTGTGTCCCCAGGCCCCGATTTGGACGCCCCGGATCCCACTGGCGTYGCACTTACCTTCCTCTGCGAATCGTTGTCCTTTCGCAGTGAGGTGCTCCTCACTGTGAATAAGGGGATCACAATCTAGCCTGTAGTGATTTTACTCTGTTGGAGATTGAAAAATAATTGCCCCCATGCCGTGTTGAGGCATCTGCTAGAAAGAGGGCTGGAAAGGCTTATCGTGACATTTATTTCAAGAGGCCACCAGATTGGTTGATGGTTATACTAATAGCTTGAGAGGAATATCTCCAGACTGGTGGGAGGAAAAAAGCTAAGCAGAAATAATCATAGAGACATTAAGCTTTAGTGTATTTTTATTTGCTCTCATAGAGTGCACTGGATTTGCAGTGATGGTTTGCATATGCCCTTTTAATGTTTACGTTTAAAGATAAGCTGCTTTTCTATTTATGCTTTATTTAACATTTACATTTATAACATTTCCTTGAGTGGTTTCTATCATTTTTGGGAACCTTTGAGCTCTCTGARGAAAATGATAACTCTTTTCTCTGAGGGAGGACTGATAAAGTCCCTAGCATGGGGCAAACCTTCCTAAGAGTTTTCCACTAATGCTAAAAATAGTGAGTCTGTGGACAGCCACAGTGATCTAGTGAAAGTCATCTGTGGCACTTCCGAAGCCTGTCCCTGTCTGCTCTAGTTTATGTGCTATTAATGCATCATTCTTCCACTTTGGTACAACAGTAAGTTAGAAATTCCCTCTGTCTGTATTCAAGCCCTTTACGCCCCACATGTGCTGGACAAAAGACAGAGCAGGAGGGAAGAAGATGGCGTGGTCAGCAGAAGATTCCCACAATTTCGATGGGAATACTTTTCTGTAGCACAGCCGACGATTTGCTGCTAGGATTAGGTCATCTCTTGGTTTATCATACATGTTTTAACCATTATGTAGTACATGAAATTGTTTGGAAAAGTGGAGGCTGCTTTTTGCAGGTTCTGTTTGGGAAAAGGTTTTCCCTCTTTGAGGTGGTTAAACAGACTAGCATCCTGAGGTCTGCGTGCAGGTTTGACAACTGCCATGTTACTGCATGTTGGGATGCACTTGCTTTGTAGCTCCCCAGAGAAGTTTATTAAACTTATAAGTTAATGCCAGAAGAAGAAGAAAAAACAACTCCTAAACCAAAACAAACCCAAAAGATCTCTCCTACTTTGCTGAAATCAGGTASAACCCCATGTATCTCATTAGAAAAAATCTGCTTTTAATATTTTTGTTTCAAGAAATGATGCATGACTTCTCAAATCCTTCCTGCAATTAATCCCCCATGTTCCTGTGTTTAGAAAATGATTCATTACTTTTGAACCTTCCTTAGTTTCCCTTAGTTGGTCCTCGGGGAGCCATTAACACACACTGTAGTGAGCTAGAGTTACCTAACTGCAAACGTCATGTCTATTTGTTTTTACAGGTGCAGCATGCTGAATTGAAACCATACAGCAGCTCCAGTCCCATTAGGAAGAAATGGAGCGCGCTCTAGGATGCCGAGGGGTTTTGGAGCACAACATCTCTCTCCATACCCACATGCGTACACGCTCTTCCCTTCCCTTCTTTTTTTTGGTTCGAAACACTAGAATCTCTGCTGCAGACTTCTTTTTTTTTGTTTGTTTGTTTTTCCTCCCCCCTGAAAGATATGCTTTTTGACACCTAAATACCTTTCCTGGGTCATCTTTCTTTTTGGCACAGAGACCTAGGCCAAAAAGAGCAGAGTGATGAGTATGGAAAGGGATGGTGCAACGGAGCTCCCTTTCGTTGCTTTGATTGCCGAGGCAAGACTGCAGTAGCAGCGCTCACTGTTTTCTGGAGAAAGAGATAATTCCACTTAGTGTAGCAGATCAGCTGAGCTGATGTGAGGAGATGCTCYGAACCAGTTTCTAACGTATCCAACAGATTTACATTAAGATACGAGAGCTATTCTTTTCTGAGTTAAATCACTGTGCCTGAAAAGGTTTAAGCTCTGAATTAACGAGTCTTTGATACCCATCTTCTGTTCAAGCGGTGTACATTTTAAAAAGTTTTTTTTTTTAATCATAATTAGCAGAAAGAGCTAGAAGCTGCAGCAGTATCTTGATATTTCATCCAGCAATTGTGGTTTTGTTCCTTTTTTATTAAGCAAAAGAAAAGTCCACCCTGTGGTTAACTCCTCAGATACTGGGATCACTAGCGATCCATTGCGGGCAATGGATGTCTTCTGCCATGAAGGAATTAACAGGACGTAGAAAAAGCCTCACTCACTGACCTGAAAAGACTCACTTGACTTACCTTTTATAATTCCTTCTCATCGGGTATTTCAGCCTAGCTGGTTTTTTTTCTGCCTAAATCCAAAGGGGACAACACTACAGCTCTGAGAGAAAAATGTTTTTTAGCCTTAAAGAAACAAGTACTTGTGCAGAAAGAGCACCCAGTACCCAAAGAAGTGGTTATGCAGTAGCACTCACAGCTGATACCTTCTTGGAGTCCCTCCTGACAGTTCAGAAGGAAAGGATGAGGAAGTGAAACTATATGGAAACTGAGCAATGAAGAGATGTGAAGAAGGACCCAGTTTTCTACTCTGAGGATAATGCAGCTTCTTGCTTACTTGCATTTAACTATTGTGCTTTTGCTTTATAAAATTTGGGAAATGGGTGTTGTTTGACTGAGGAAACTCAGTTCCAGAATCACACAAGCTTACCCGCTTTTAGTGGGACTCTACTCCTAATATAACCTGTATATTAGGTGCTATAAAATATTGTGGAGGTGACTTGCCCCTGCAGTGAATCATTGGCAGCAACAGAGCTGCAACTTACTTCTCTGGATCCCAGACAGGCATCTCCACCAGCATCTCCTCGAGTGATTCCCAGTGCAAAGAAAAGGAGAAGTTGGGGAGACAGGTAGTAACCAAAATAACATTTTGGAAATGAGATGAATAAAAGTAAAACTGGATTACTTATCTTGTAGACTGGAGATCTTAGTGAAGTCATATTGTGTTGTTCACTAATTCCACATTCTTGTGGGCCTGTTGCATGAATCTGGGGAAGGAAAACTAGAGACCAGAGTATCTTCCACTGGACTGTGTACCTGGGTTCAGTGATTTTTCCAGGATGCTTGTTTGTCAAAGTAACAAGATTCATGGAGCCTCTAAAGAGGCACCCTTTTGTGGATTTGATTTGATAAAGAACGTGTTTTGCTCATGTAAGGCTATATGTAGCTGTATGTGAAAAGATAGAAGAAAGATTATCCCAGCGGAAAAGCTTCAAGAATGCCTCTTTGTGTGCATGTGTGCTTGCATACCCATGCATATACATAGTTGTGTATACAGAAGAGATCATATATAAAGTATTTATAGGTGAGTGTGTGTGGGGAAATAGGTGAATATACAGATTTAAAACCTTCAAAGACAATGTTTATGAAAAATGCCAAAGATTCTAAAGCTTATCATCTCGTCTCTGGTCTTCTTCATGTTGTATCTTTCCCGGCATGTGTCTCTGGCTGAGCCAGATCTCTGCGTGATTTGATTTACTTCAAGTTAATGAAGCTGGTTGGAAAGTGCCTTGTGGAAATTATAAAATCTCCAGTAAATCTCTTACTTGTACATACAATAGATGTCCATGGACCCTTTTTGTTAAACCAGTTTCTCAATCTTCCGTGTAAACAATGCCTCATTGTCTTGCTTCAAGCTATCGTCTATTTTATCATCCCCTAGTCTTGTCATTTTTTAAGGAGCAAAGTCAGACATTTTTAAGCAGGCATGTGAGATCTGATCAGTCATTTGAGTGAAAACATTAAATTGCAGCAAGAATTATTTGTTCAGAAGTTGGGACCGATATTTTAATAGCTTTTCTTTCCCTATTGAATATTCCACATGGCCCTGATTTCTGTTCAGGAGACAGGGTGATGTCTTATTTTAAATGTAGATAAGCTGTGTTCCAGAATAATTTGTATTGGATTATTATGCTGTAGCCATACCAGCTGAAGAGTTTGGTATGGTCCAGTGCCTATATATGTTCCAATGAGCTCTTTGTTATGATAAATGCTGTTTGAAATGCAATGAACATCTGAGGTTAAGATGGAGCTTTTAATTTATGTGGATTGGGGTGCATATTCCATATTAATTGCAAAATGCTTATTGTGCTATGATATTTAGTGTCTGACTAGGTAAGAAAATACATTTCCTGACAGAGTGCAGCACGACAACTAGTGATGAAATGGAAGTGGTACTTCTCTAAGAGATAAACTAGATGGTTGCCCTTCTTGCTTTGAAGCTCTTTGACAATCTCCTAGCTGCTATGTAAATAATAATAATGTTACTCTATTCAGCATATAGCATGGAAATTATAAGCTTGCATTTTTGATTTTGTAGTAATTTCAGTGCACTTATGTACATAGTTGTGTTCGAAACTCTCCCAGAAAGCATTCAGAAACTTAAATATAGGAGTATTCTGAATGACTTTACAGAATTACTGAGAAATGGTATCAGAGTATTAATAAGCATGTTGATTACCTGTGCAATGTGTAAATAATTGGTAAACTATTGGTAAAAAATTTGGTAAAAAGTAACATATATGTGCAAATGAAATATATGTTTGCATTTGCCTAATCACAGACTGCTGCTGAAAAGTTGGTGTATTGAATAGGTGTGAATAGGGCTGAGGGCTCTTTCCCTATGGATCAGTGTCAGGAGAACTCAGTCACAGAAACACACATCATGGAAAGCAAGCAAATGACTAAATAAAACGAAGTCTGGGAAAATGTCACATGTACCTTCTCTTCTCTTCTCTTCTCTTCTCTTCTCTTCTCTTCTCTTCTCTTCTCTTCTCTTCTCTTCTCTTCTCTTCTCTTCTCTTCTCTTCTCTTCTCTTCTCTTCTCTTCTCTTCTCTTCTCTTCGATATTCTGTCATTTCCAGGTGAAAATTATAAACCAATGGGGAAGACCATCAGTGGACGCAACCGTTATTTAGTTCCAAGGAAGATACAAAGTATATTTGTGATTAATATAAATGTCCACAAGCATGTAGACATAATATTAGAGTGAAAATATCTACCACTTGAGGTCAGACTTCCAGCAGATGAATGGATGAATTTGCTGCTCTTAACCTCCACATTTTTGAAGAGTTACTTCTGTCTCTCACTAGAAGGAATATTGTATTTTTAACCGTTACCTTCCAACTGGAGATAAAACCGAAAGTCTTGAGATTTATACTTTCAAATGCATGGATTCACCTTTAATTCTGAAGGGATGTGTGGAGAAAATGGTGCTGGATGCAAACTCCTTCATGAAAACTTGCTCAGCAATATTGCTGTGGTTATTTCAAAGATACTTGCAAATATTTTGACTGCATCATGAGGGATGTGTGCAGAGGTAAGTCAATTGGGTGACTTAGTGATGCTTACGCCTTTAAGGTGTTGTCCTGAAAAGAAGCAAAAGAAAATAATAATAGAAAATACTAATAGAAATATTAATTATATATTATATAATTATATAATAATTATAGTATTATTATTTCTTGAACAAGCACTAGCTGCTACTTCCCTTCCAGCCTCTGTATGTTGAAGATGGGATTTGGGAGTCTTCAATCTCTCATGGAGGGTGACTATTTTCAAGGACAGAAATCTGGGTATATAATAATGGCATATGCTATTTACTGGCTCACTGCTGCCACCTCCCAAAGTAGAGTAAATATCTGTAGCCTTCTTTTCTAAATGGAGATGCATAGTGGAAAGAGCATATGTTCCCATTGACAGGAAAAACACTTTAAGTCTTATTGATTTTTGTACCAAATTTTGCTTTGATCATGACCCTCTGATTTCTCTCTTCACCTTCTGTCTGCCTGTGGCCCACCTGAGTGAGTCTCCAGGGCAGCACAGCAGGCCAGTATGTTAGAAKAAGCCAGTGTGGAGGGAGAAAAAAATTCTCCCTCCATCCCTGGCAGTAGACGACTTTACTGAAAGTCAATGCCATTCCCTTGCATTTATCACTGCCACTCTTGCTCTGCATATTTTTTGGTATTCGCCATGCATTGTTAGCAGTGATTGTCATGTAATTAAATCACTGCTCATCACAAGAGCCTATTTTTATGCTGAGATAAGCATCAGAAGTCTGCTGCAGCRTCCCCCAGATCAATAAAGATGTTCCCTGTAGGATTACAAATAGTCTGGGGTTGTGCAGGGCACTAGAATTAATTAGGAATGATTTCTCTTTTTCTTTCTTCTTTCAATACATTTTTAATTGTTTATCCATTTTCGATGGGCTTGTTTTTAACTCTACCATGGTGCCCAGATGCTTCTTTTCAGACCTTTCGAGTATGATACGATAACAATTTGGGCAATGCTACTTGCTCTAAGCACTCACTGTTATTGTGATCATCTTTCTACAGTCATGTGTGACTGCTACTTAAAATGTGCTTCTGAATGAGGTATTTGCATCTTGGGCTTTGCACTTGAGCCTACRGTTAAGTAGGTTCATGAAGTGATGGGAGGTCCAGATAAGGTGCGTAACCCTCAGGCYCTGTCCTGCAGATTTGCCAGTTTGATTGGGCAAGGCAGAGAGCAAGCGCAAAGATCTGAGGCATTTGCTGAGGAAGCATTTGTCCAAGGTCACAGAGCAAGTCTGTGGTGCAAGAAGGACGAGCTCTGGGGTCTCCCATTTCCAAGCAGTTCTGAGACTTGCTTTTCCTGGACCTCCCCTTTAAAAGTCTT